CACAGAGAAACCCTGTCTCAAAAAAAAAAAAAAAAGAAAGAAAGAAAGAAAGAAAAGAGAAAGGAAGGAAAAGAAACAGGAGACCATCATCCCAGTACTCCCTTCAAGAACAAGCCCCACTGATCAGACCTCCCTCCACAATGCCACTGGCCAACAAGGTCATTACATAGGGGCCAAGCCTTTGACACATGAGTTGGAGATGGCTATCCAAACCAAAGCAATTATCTTGGAGCTAAAAATCATTTAACAAAGTCAGCCCAGAGACAGCAGCGGCTCCTGTAACCCCAAACCACTGACAGCTGTCAAAAGAAAAATGGAAAGATGGAAAATGAAAAGATGGTGGTCTCACACTCTAGTCTCCTGACCCGTCCCGCAGGCTAGTCAAACAGGGTCCACCTGAAAGAGGGAGTGGAAATTAGGGGACAGAGACTCGAAGAATGGAGACAAGACAGATTCCTGTTTACTGAACATGCAAGCAACACGTATAAAGCAAAGGGTACAAGCAAATTTTTTACAGTAGCAACACATCTGTGCCACCTGGCAAGGCATGCAGGAATTCACTCAAGGTTACACAAAATCCGCTGTCTGGTTCACAGGGTTGCAGAGAGCTTGCTATCTACTTCTCAGTAACCTGCTTGCAGAGACCACCATGGACAGTCTCTGAGAAATGGAACTGTGGATAAGACCCGCATCTGCCAAGGCCAGGAAGCAGAATTCCAATTACCAGACTCCTTCAGTCTCCCTAATGTGCATGCCTGTCTGCTAGCAAATGGTGCTCTTTTTTTCTCTTGTAAGTCTTGTCTTTAATTGTAGATTCTTATTATGAGGAGATGGCATCCTTGGGAAAAGAGGGAACACAAGAACTTCCACCTGAGAAAAGTTGGTAGCGTGCTTACCTAATGGGGACAAAGCCAGAGAGGTTAGATTTCCAGCCCCACATAGACTTGGTATGGTGGCTTGTTGGTATAATGTTCGTTTAAAATGTATATGCCTTACCCTTGTTAATTCAAATGCTGATTTCCCCACCCCCAACTCTCTGGTTTCAATCTGGATATTGCATTGTGATACTCACTATAAGCATCCTGTCTCAACTCTTGTGTAAACAGGACACAAATAAAACAACTAGATACAATGTTGTGCAATGGGAGGAGCCAGAGGACAGGAAAGAAAGGAGGAGCTAGAGAACAGGAAGGGGCGAGGAGGAGGAGAGCACGAGGAGAGCAGAGCGGGAGGAGAAAGCTTGGAGGACTTGGAGCATGAACCAGACCTAAGATTTCACAAAAAGTATAATGTGGGAAATCTAAATGTTAGGAAACTGAGGGCTTGGAGGTTTAGGAGGGAGTAAATATTGCCCAGCATTGTGTTCTAGGTTAACTAAAAACCCAGTCTCTGTGTGGTGATTTGATTATACAACTGTTTAAGATTAATAGCAAGGTTTACTAGAAGATAAACCAATAGTAAATATTAATAACCACCTACAACAGTGGCTCACACCTGTAATCCCAGCACTTAGGAGGTAGAGGCAAAAGGATCAGAAGCTAAGGGTCTGGGCTATATAGGGTGTTCAAGGTCAGCCTGGGTCTCAAAAAATAAAATTCTTTAACTGTGACTTCTGGAAACAAGGTCCCTTCAAAGCATCCATCCTAAAGGGATCTTAATGTTCATGAATTTTTAAAGAATCTTCCTCTATCGGATTTCTCCTAGCACACAAACATTGGCACAAATATATGAGGGTTCTTCCATTTTGGAAGTATTGGGGTGGTGGGGGCAGGCATGCTACATTGAAAAGAGAACCCAGTGCTGAGGCATAGCAGCCACCAGAGGGCAGTGCATCACCCTTTCCTAAGTCAAAGTATGCAGAGACCTTGGCACACACAGCTCTAAGTGGAAGCCGCCATCAAATCCCTCCCCCTCAGGGCTCAGGGAACCCTGTGGAGGAGCAGACAGAAAAACTATAAGAGCTAGAGAGGATGGAGGACACCAGGAGAACAAGGCCATCTAAATCAACTGAACAAAGTGCATACGAAGTCACAGAGACTGAAGCAGCAAGCACAGGGCCTACTTGGCTCTGCACCAGGTCCTCTGCATATATATTATAGCTTTCAGTTTAGTCTTTTGATGGGACTCCTGTGTGTGAGAACAAATGGTTTATTCTGTGCCTTCTCTTGATTTTTTTCTTCTATTCGTTTGCCTTGTTCAACTGTGATGTGATAGGTTTTATTTTATTATATTTTGTGGTGTTTCATTGTTATCAATTAGAAGCCTGTTCTTTTCTAATGAGACACAGAAAGGAGTGGTGATTCTGGGTAGGAAGGGAAGGGGAAACTACAACCAGGATATATTGTATGAGAAAAATCTATTTTCCAAAATGATACTCAACTGTCTTACGTAAACTGACCAATTATTCCCAAGGATGAGATATTTCTGTAAGTAGACATCAATTCTAAAAATCAAAACAAAACAAACAAAAAATTAAAAACTTATTTTTAAGTCAAAGAGGTGTCAAAATCATAGCAAAACTTACAGGGTAAGACTTAACAAAGCTACTAAGGAGAATCAAAGGAAGTGAAAATGCACAGGGCAATTATGAATTAATGAACACAGGAAAGAATAGGAGAGGGAGAGCAGTGAGAATGTGCTGAAGATACTAGGGGAAAGGATATGGTGTTACTTTGTTACTTTGATCTCTCACAAGCACCCAGGTAAATGAATAATGGGTTAAGATTTCTAAACTCCACACTATGTGCTTAAGACTCATCCTCCCCATTGGCGCTGTCTCTGTCATCCTCCGCTTCCTCAGCCTCTTTTCAATCATCCTTGCTCGACTCCAGCTGGTCATCCCCGTGATCCTCATTCCCGTCACCGTCAAGAGGTTGCCCTCAGCAGATTCATCACACTTCCCCAGACTCCTACTTCACATTAGTAGGAGTCATCCTACTCATCCTTGTTCACAGAGGCGCTCCTCTGCTCTTCTTCAGACTTTTCTTTCTTCATCTCTACTGCTTGTTTGCTTTGCTCTTTTTCAATTTTTTCCAGGCTTTCCAGCAGAGAATCCACTTTTGGTTTTATCAGAGTTATCTCCTTCTTAATGGCCTGAAGAAGATCGCCGTTGTTCACTCTTGGAGTTAAATCCACTTTTGGCCCCGTGGGAGGTGTTTCCTGACACATGCTGGCGTTGAGAGGACACCGCACCTTGAGCAGTAGGCGGAGGAACACATGCAGGGTAACCGCACATCCTGTCATAATAAGCTGTTGCATCCCGAGGAACTGAGTAGAGACGCAGAGAAGGGTGTTCTGGCATGGACCACCCATCTCCGCTGCGGACTGCTTCACACACGCTTTTCCTCAATTCACATTTGGCTCTGCAGCCAGGTTAATATCTAAAACCTGGCCAGCAATCATTCTGCCAACCTCTCCAGCTCCAGCAGCACGGGCATTTCTTTCATTAACATACCAGATGAAGGCAAAGCCCTTATGCACAGAGCAACCCACAATTTTACCATACTTTGAAAAGATGGCCACCACATTAGACTTCTTGACCACATGAACTGCTGAGATTCCCAGTGAATACATGAAAATTTATGGACGGAGGATCCGTCTTGCTGGTAACATTGCTAGCCATCTCCTCTGATGATAAGGTTTCTCACAAAGCTGAAAACGTAGCTAAAGATTAAAAAAAAAAAAATCTCACAAGAGGTAAGAGAGAAGAGACTGCTTCTCCTACTGTGGGTCTGTGCTGAGATGCTGAGGCTACAGCAAACAGGGAGCATATGATTGTCCCCGATCTTCACAATCAGCAGCCATCAATTCTAATGATTGTAGTTTGGTTTTTGTTTTGTTTTGTTTATGTATCTGTTATTGGGAATTGCATTTGCCACAGTTCATACAGAGGCCAGAGACAACTTTTGGGAGTCAGTTCTCTCCTTTCACTATATGGGCTCCAACTCAGGTTGTCAGGCTCACAAAACCTAAAGGTGTAAGACCGTAACACTGAAAACATCAAACACTTGGGGAACAGGGCTTGATAGACTCAAACTGGAACTGACCTGGAAGCTGTTACGCAAGCAGCCAAGGGAGAAAAGCAATCAGCAGTCCTGCCCAGCTTGGAAGCCTACAAACCAGAACGACCACCTCTCCAATGGTGCAATAGTGCTATTATTATCCTGGGGTAACCAAGATAGTCTTAGTCTTACTTAAGGCTAACTCAGTAAGAGGGAATTCATTTATGGTACTGTAAATCAAGCCAACTACTGGTGACCAGAGGAAAATCTAATATTGCCACTTTTCTTAACCAATATAGTCTCTTATTGCATTTTAAACACTTATCCTTATTCCCACAGGTAAGTGTAGCTACTACCCTCTCATCTTAGAACCTTCTTTTTACAATAGATGGAGACTACTACAGATATCTACAACTAGTCAAAATGCAAAGAATAAGTGGTTGGAGGGTGTCAGGCCCCAGTTGGGAATCCTCAATGCAACTCTTACACCTAAGACTCAGGAAGCATCTCAGAAGACAGGGAGATTATAAGTGGGAGGGCCAGGAGGCCTGCTCTCGGATAGTGTCATCTAAGCATGACAGGTTCGCTGCAGCCAGGAAATCTCAATAAAATGGTTGCCTAAACAATTCCCTGCATAATGACAACTCCAGTCAATATGCCAGTCAGGATAGGGAAAATTCACAATGCCCCACCCCTAGATAAAGAACGGCAGGCAATCAATGGGCTACTTACAGAGGGGGAATCGGTCTTCTCCAGTCCCTTGTTCAGTCATCCAATCCCAAATGGTCAGCCCTAAACATACGTACATAAAATAACACTAACCAGGCTCATCGGGGAGGGGTGGGTAACAATAATCCTCATGCTAAAGAGTAGTCATAAACTTTAGAGGGAGTAGGAGAACACAAGAAGGGCTCGAGATGGGGAGAGAGAGGTGGAAATATCCAAATACGATATACCATTGTAAGAAATTCTTAAAAAATAAAATTGAAACTTTAAAAGTATAAAACTACCAATATAGATTTATTGTAGATCCTGCCTATTAACACACTTCAGGAATAAAACTACTATTTTTTACTACTTTTCAAAAAGAAGCAAAAGCAAAGAGGCGGCTGACTGGGGGGTTGGGGGGGTGTAATAGGAAATGCAGACCAGCCTTTTGCCACCTCTGAGCAGCCTATCTTACTTGGAAAGTGCTTCCTCTGACATCTGCCCATCAGCAGTTACATCTCCATAAACAGTCCCACCTTTCAAGATCACACCCTGAAGAAATGTCTGCCTACTGCTGCTCATTCCTCCCAGGTGTCCCTGTGAGGGAAGCAGGACTCATTAACTTATGAGATCAAATTAAGGACACTTGATACTCCTTCAGAGTTCCAGAGGTCAGTTCTGAGACCTCTGGAATGTTAGGAGACCTACAACTGTCTGTAGCTCCAGCTCCAAGGGGATTGGACACCCTTCTCTGGTCCTGGTGGGTACCTGCACATGGATGCACACACACATAAATAAAAATGAACCTGAGAAAAGACCAAGCCCATAAACCAAGCTAGGAATAAGAAGGAGTTCATGAACCCCAGGCCCTAACTGAAGAGCTATAGACAGCTGGCGGCTTTCGGGGAAGGAGAGTCATTTTCCCTAAGGGTGTGGCTCCTGGAAGATGGATGGCTCTCCAGTGGATGTCTTCATGCCCACACGTTTATTAACAGCAAACAGGACTCAATAGGCTATTTTAAAAAATAAATAACATGAAGTTGTGGGGACACAGGGAGGAGGGTTGAACCAGATGCTGTTGGGGGAATGGTGAATATGATCAAGATACATTGTATGGCAGGACAGTGGTGTCACACACCTTTAATACAAACACTTGGAAGGCAGAGGCAGGCAGAGTTTCAGGACAGCCAGGGCTACAGTCTCTAAAAACAGAGTCATAATGAAACCATTACTTTGTGCAATTTACATATGCTGAGAAGAGTTGATGTGTATATGTTTTACTTTAAAGTGTTGACTCTGGAACAGGAGACTTACATAATATCTTCCCCAAAGCCTTAGGCCAGTAGATGATTAAACATCTTTGTTTACATGCTGCCACCTGGTGGCTACAGTGAGACACTCTGAAATGCTACCACAGAAAATGAAAACCCATGATAGCTGATAATCTGAAACATTATGTGGAAAACAGACTGTCTTCTTTACATCCCCCTTGTTCCTAGCCATAAGAGATACTTCGCCTGTACATGATGGCATTAAGGGGCTTATCAGATGAATAAACTGGCTGACCAGACAGCACACTTGCTGGTTGCACTGCAGTGTCAGAGAAAAGTCTCTTCAAAGTTTGCTCACAAAGCACATGACAGTTTTGTTCACTCAACAAAATCTTACTGTGTCTGTTATTTCCAGGTAGTCCAAATTCCATTGTAAGGGTGATAAAAGACCCCATGGGAAACAGGGTCCCCACCCTGTAAGGTCATGTAGTTGTACACAATAAAGCCTGAGTGACAGATAGCCAAGCCCAAAGCTACTGTCTGGATGGGAAACTGAGGACAAGGAATCAAACAACTTGTTATTCAGTAATAGAATCCTAACCGCTGCACACTCAAACACTTTCCTTGAAGAGTGTTTATCATGGTAACAACAGGAGCTAGTATACATGAGCTGGGTGAGATGGGGCTTCAAGTTGGTATGTGAGGTTAATTAATCCATTATCAACATATAAAAGGAAAACATTCTAAAGAGGCCAGTCTGAGCATTACCACAAAAGGGAACGATATTTCACTCTCAGAAAACACTGAATTTTAATTAAATAGAGGTAATGTCTACCAAATCCTTATATATTCATTTTTTGATGGTGTACTTTAATCCCAGTATCCTGGAGGCACAGTCTGGCAGTTCTCTGCAAGTTTTAGGAGACAAATTTCTCTGTGTAGCCTTGGCTGTCCTGGACTCAATTTGTACAACAGGCTAGCCTTAAATTCCCAGAGACAGGGAGGCCTGTCTCTGCCTCCCTGAATGCTAAGATTACAGGCCTTACAGGCCTGTGCCACCACCCCCGGCAACTACTTTAAAAAAAAAAGAATACTTCTGACTTACTGGAGCTCAGTGGATAAAGACGTGCAGCCAAGTCCAGTGACCTGAGTTCAATCCCCAGGGCCCACATGGTAGAGACAACTGACTTCCACCAATTGTCCTCTTGCCTACACACATAAACACACAAATAAGTAATTGTAGAGAAGGCGAGGTGCCTCAGTGGGTAAAGGCACTTGTTGCCAAGCCTGATGACCTAAGTTTGATCAGGAGGACTGACAGGGTGAAAAGAATCACCTCCAGAAAGTTGTGTGGACAAGTAAATGAAAGTCCATGCTCATGTATTTGAAATGTAAATATTTAAAAAGAATGCCTACTAAACTAGGTGTATAGCACATTCCAAAAACCCTAACATTTGAGATGCAGAGGCAGGAGAATCAGGACATCAAGGTCAGCCTACATATCAAGTGTGAGGCCAGTCTACACTGCATGAGATCCCATCACCAGAAAACAAATAGTAAACCAGTATTTCTTGGGATTGGTGATGGAGCTCAGACAGTAAAGTCCTTACTCAGTATGTACAAACTCTTGGGTTCCAGTCCCTAGCATTGCATACACCAGATATATGTAGGCACATGCCTGTAAGCCAGCACTGGGAGGATCAGAAGTTCAAGGGAGTTTTAAGGCCATCCTGGGACACGAGACCCTGTTTAGAAAAGAAAACCAGCCAGACGGTGGTGGCACACACCTTTTATCCCAGCACTAGGGAGGAAGAGGACAGCCTGGTCTACAAAGTGAGTTCCAGGACAGCCAGGGATACACAGAGAAACCTGGCTTCAAAAAAAATAAAATCATGGAGGCAACCTGGCCCAAGGCATGGGGGCTGCCACCACTCACTGGCTGCCCTTGTGAGGGGAGAAGAGCTTGGGGCTGCCTGAGGACTTCAGCCTAGATGGTTGCACTCAGGCTACCAGCAGGGTGGTTAAAGCCATGGGCAGGTAGAGTGCAGCAGCCTGGAGCTCTTGTAGGTCCTGCCTCTGACACACTAGCCAACAGGATTGCCCTGACTCTGAGCAGCAACAAGATAATTGAGACAAAGAATGGTTCATTTTCTAGTTAAGTCTCCTCGAAAGATTTCCATGGTCCATGCTGCCTCCAGAAACTACGCTGACATCTGTGATCCTTGCAGCTGTTGGAAATCATGTGAAATTTTCAGCATGTTGAGATCCATGCTGCACCAGAAATTATGCTGATGCTCATGATCCATACAGCCACTGGCTGCTTGGACAGAGCAGCTTTTTTTTTTTTTTTTTTTGACAAAATTTTTTATTGACTATTTGAAAATTTCATATCATGCCCACATCACACCAACTTCCAAGTCCTACAGGGTCTGACCACACTCTCTTTCTCTCTCTCTCCCTGCCCCTCCCACCTGCCCAAAAAGTCTAATTTGTTGTGCCCATAATATTCAGGGGAGCATGGTCAAAGCCCCAGTGTCCAGCCCCTTAAAGAAAACTGAGCCTTTCCCCTCCCACACTCAACCAGAAGTCATCAGTTGTGGAGAGCTACACTTCAGCGCCCTTATCACAATTTTTAAAAGTTCTCTTCAATGGTTTTCTGTCTAGGCTATTACTTTGCGGGGAGAAGGGACAGTTGTTATAGAAGCCTTCTGTGTCCCTCGTTCTCAGCTGTGAGTCTGCAGTCATCAATTCCACTGCAGAAGTAGCTTCCGTGTTCTTTACACTCAGCAGGAGCACAGATCACAGACTTCCACAGGTTTGTGACATGGTCTCTGGCATCAGCACATGCCACAGACCTCAATAGTCTCCAATGGCAGCACAGACCACAAACAGCAACGTAGCCCTCTGCCACAGCACAGGCCACAGACATCATCACAACCCTTAGCAGCAGCACAGGCCAAGGATATCAACATGGCCTCCAGGGCAAGAGCCACAAACACCAATATTTCCCAGAGGCAGCCCAGCCCAGTTATCAACATGGCTTCAGGTGGCAGCACAGACCACAAACATCTGCATGTCTTTTGGTGGTAATATGGGCCACAGACATCAACCCAGCTGCTGCATGACTATGGACTCAAACATGGCCCTTAGCAGCAGCATGGACCACAATCATCAGCGTGGCTGCACTGGCCACTCACATCAACATGGACCCCATCGCCAGCACAGCCCACAGACATCCACATGGCTTTTGGTGCTAACACAGGCCACGGACATCAACCTATACTCCCAACTGCAGCAGAACCATGGACCCAACATGGCCCTCATCGGTAGCACAGTCCATGGACATCAACACAGACTTCAGCTGCAGGACCACAGAGCCCAACATGGCCCTCAGAGGAAGTACAAGCCACTCATATCAACATGGCCTCCAGTGGCAATCGGGACCATAGACACTAACATGACCTCCTGCAGTAGCAGACTATGGACATCCATTTTTGCAGTGTCATTGAGGACTATGGACTCATAACTAAGAATGAGAGACTTTGAAGGCTCTGTGCCTAAATTTTGGAATTAAGCAGTTTGCCATCATGCCTGGCTTTAAATGTGACTTGCTTTCTTCTGGTCTGCATTCTCCCATCATCACTAATTGTGCAATGATAAATCTGTCAAGTAATCCAAAGTTCAGAAAGTCTTCCCTGTAGTGATAACAGCCCATTAGGGAGAGGAGGACTAGGGGATAAATATACCTCAATACTTTGTATCCTTTTTCTGGTTCTTCCAAGTTATTATTTACACTTTTTTTCTTCTATGAGATCTATTTTTAAAAGATTTTTTACAGGTTAATTATAATTACGTATGCATGTATGTGTCCTGTATTCAGGTTCATGCACTTGAATATAGTGCCCACAGCAGTCAGAGGGTCTCAGATGCCCTGAAGCTATAAGGTGGTTGTGAGCCACCTGATGTGGGTGCTGAGAACAAATGATTCAGGTCCTCTAGAAGAGCAGCATGCATTCTAACCATTAAGCCATCTCTCTAGCCCTAAAAAAAAAATAAAAATAAAAAAATCTATTTTGGGCAAAATGAAGAATGTAAGCATAGTTACCTCATTCTCTAAATAGTCTTCATTACAACTGAAAGTCTTATACTGTCTGATATAGCCACTCCTTGACGTTTATAATAAAATAGTCATTTTAATATTGATGTGCTAAACTATATAGCATTAGGTAGAAATTAAATGAACTCTCTGCAACATATTTTTCCCATGGTACACTGGAGAAACTATCTGAAGTATGGTTAAATGTTCCGTAATTCTCAACAACAGCAGCAGAAGCCTCAATAAACTCTCTGCCTGAAGCATGCTGCTCTCAGCACAGACTGTACTGTACCCAAATATTACCACTTCCTCTGCCCTGGCAGCACACTCACACACAATTCCTCCCTCTGTGCAGATTGACTGTCACACATTTTTACCTATGCTCAGCCTGGTACAGTAGATTTAAAGCCTCATGGAGAGAAGAAAACTATCACAGAGTAGATTAAAGTCAGAGAACTAGGCCCTCTCAGAACCTCAGCTACTTTGATGAAAAGATACTACATGATCTGGGAGCAGGGGTAGGAACAAAATATATTACCAGTCCTCTGCTTCTACATCCTTCATTTGTGTCTCAAGATGGCTTTGCCCTCTTATTAGTCAGGCCTTACATGGTCCTAGAAAGGGTGATCAGGCATGCCTCAGCCTCCATAACCAGAAAATATACCCATACAAACCCAGGTTCCCAGTTCCTGAACTAACCAGTCACCCTATGTGTGGCTGCTCAAGAATAACTAAGCCTTGCTTTGAAAAGTTCTATTTTAGTTCAGGACTGAACAGAGCACAGTCAATGTAGACATATGCTAGTGCTGCACTAGGTGCTGAGGAAAAGGTCATCCATCCCAGTGCTTCCTGAGGTGCTCTTTCAGTTTCGGGATGGAAGGCAGCAGCTGCTGACACTCGTGGCAACGAAGAGGCAACTTCAAGAGTTCATAAGTCCCATCCTGAACAGTCACTCTGCCAACTTCTTGAACCATCTTGATCACAGCTGCAAGCAAGAAGTAAAGTTCAGATCCCAGTCACTCTGGAAAGCCAGGAAGACACCAAGAAAAAGCTAAAAAACATGACTCTAATCAACATATCCAGTATCCTAAAGATTGTAAGCTTCAAGTTAGACTGCAACTGGCAAAATATACTTGACCAGGTTCTAAGTCTGAACAGCCTAGTTTTGGGATGGTATACTTCTTCAGGACACTCCATGTTACTACATCATGGACTCATCACCATGCTTTTCCCTAGGTGGCTCTTTGCAAAATAGTGGCTGCCACATTAACACTGCACCATTACTGAAGCTGCATAACAAATATACTGGGAAATGCTTACATTCTAAATTCACATAGCACCTACAAAGCACTACTGAGAAAGCCCCCAAACTCCTGCTCAACTTGTGCCAGAAGAGACAAAGAGCTCCTGGGACCCTCCTCACCCAAGAACTCTTTGGCATTTGGACATGAAGTATCTCCTGTGAAGCCTCATGTATTGAAAGTGTGGTCCCCAGCTGTTGGTACTATTCGGCGAAATGGCAGAAACTATAGCAGGTGTGACCTAGCTGGAGAAAAGAGGTCATGGGGGATACACTTGAGGCTGTGTTTTGTCCCAAGACCCTCCCCTAAGGCCTTCTCCTCTTTCTCTTGCTCCTGGCTGCCAAGAGGTAAGTAGCTTTGCTCCTCCTCACCCTCCTCACCAATGCTCTGCCTCATCATAGCCCAACAGCAGGGCCACAAATGAGTCCTCTGAAACTATGAACCCAATACAGCTTTCATTTCTCAGGTTATGTCAGGGATTCTGTCACAGTGACAAAACAGCAAAGCCTGGCTAGTAGAGGCTCCAGCAACTCTTAGATTTACCTGCTCACACACTCTTTCCCAGCAAAGAGTCTAACCTGGCTTATTAGCTTCAGAACACCTGGCATACCGAGCAAGCATTAGCCCATCTGCTGCCAAAATGGCACACTTCTGACCCTGACGTAGGAACTGAATGGGTACCTCCCAGATGCTCACAGCAAAGAAGCAACCCTATTAGAGTGAACATTCCTGTTCATGTTAGGAGTGCTTTTATAGAGATCACTGTATGGCTGTGGATCATTTGAGGCCAGGTTGTTACTTAGAGAAACAACTGAGTCAGAGAGTAAACATCTGAGAAAATGAAATAAATATTAATAAAAAAAAATCAAACTACTATTTACCTTGTGATTCCAGAAAGTACTCTGAATTGAAAGAATTCCAGTGCTTTTTGTGTTTAAGGCAAGGAGAATCAAAGTCCTGGCTGATCACATGAAGGTGCACATGGCTAGTTGAACGTTGAAAAACAAAAAAGAACTGAGTATTAAAAACTACAGTTCAATCAAAATGATACCAGTCAAAGTACAGGTAACATAAAGTTCTGATGCTGTGTCTATTCAATGCAATCTACCCATTTATTTGAGTGCTTTCCATGTGTGCTGGCTAATTTTATGTCAACTTGACACAAGCTGAAGTCATCTGAGAGGAGGGACACTCAATTAAGCAGGGCGGTGGTCATGTACACCTTTAAGCCCAGCACTCCAGAGGTAGAGGAGTTCCAGGCCAGCCTGGTCTGCAAAGTGAATTCTGTAACAGCCAGGCCTACACAGAAAAACAACAACAAAAGATAAGGAAAACAATGCCCCATAAGCTCAGACTGTATGAAAACTTATAGGGAATTTTCTTAATCAGTGATTGATGGGAGAGGGTCCAACCCACTGTGGATGGTTCCATCACCAGGCTGGTGGTCCAAGGTTCTATAAGAAAGCAAGCTGTAGCTGGGTATGGTGATGCACGCCTTCAATCCCAGTGCTCAGGGAAGCAGAAGCAGGTGGATGGCTCTGAGTTTGAGGCCAGCCTAGTTGACAAAGCGAGTACAGGACAGCCAAGGCCACACAGAGAAACACTGTCTTGAAAAAAACAGAAAAAGAGAGAAAAGAAAGCAGGCTGAGCAAGCCATAAAGAGCATGCCAGTAAGTAGCACCCCTCCACAGTATCTACTTTAGCTCCTGCCTCCAGGTTCCTGCCCTGCTTGAGTTCCTGTCCTAACTTTGCTTTGATGATGAACAGCAATGTGGAAGTATAAGCTAAATGAACCCTTTCCTCCCCAAGTTTATTTGGTCCTGGTGTTTCATCACAGCAGTAGTAACTCTAACTGAGACATTGTGCAAATACAAAGACTTAATCTTCAGCACTTAGGTGAAAAAGCCAGGCACAGCAATGCACTCCTTCCTGGCACTGAAGAGGTACAGCTTACTGGCCAGCCAGTCTGACAAATCAGCAAGCTCCAAGTTCTCAAAAACTAAGGTGAAGCCTAGGCATGGTAGCAAATGCCTTTAATCTCGGTGCTCTGGAGGCATAGACAGCAGGAGCTCTGTGAGTTCAAGGGAAGTCTGGTTTGCATAGCAAGTTCCAGGCCACCCAGCACTACATAGTAATACCTGTCTTAAATAATACACAAATACAAAAATAAATACGGGAGAAAGCAATTGGACTCACACATATGTATATGTATAAATACGCACAAGGAATATTTAATGCTTAGTAAGTATCTAATCAAACCAAGCACTAGAAATTTAGTAGTGAATAATACAGGAAAGGGCTTTGCATCTAGAGTAATTAAATTCTACTAAAGAAAAACAAATAAGCAAGAAAAATTAAAATCATTAAAGAAAAATAAAGACTGCAGTACATGCATAATGGCACATGCACTTGGGAAATTGAAGTAGGAGAATTCTGAATTAAAAGCCAGCCTGGGCTAAACAGTGAAAAAGTATCTCAAAAAAAAAAAAAAAAAAAAAAAAGGAATAATTAGTTGTAACTAGTTGGGAGGAGAAAGGGGATTAAAGGATCAGACGGTTGGTAATAACAGGATATAATCAATATACTTCATAAACATGTATAAAAATGTCATAATGAAACCTATCATATATAATATACACTAAAAAAAAAAAAAAAAAAGCAAAAGGAGTGAAGGAGGAAAAGAAAAGACAGTGACTCTAACCCCAACCCTAACCCTAGGGCTAGAATAGAACAGTGCTCAGAGAGGGCCTTTGCCAGGTAAGGCAGGAGCTAGGTGATTGTGTCTCAGAATGTAGAGGCCAAATTCAAAATCCTGGAATGAGAAGCAGCTTTGCAAATGTGGACCATGAAGAAGGCAGTATGTATAGTCAGAATTACTAGAACCAAGGAGCAGGAATTCAGCAGGAGGCAGATCATAACGGGTCTTAAAGGCCTGTAAGAGCATCATGTTTTTATCCTGATTACACTAGGGAGCTATTGGAATTAACCAGAGAAGATTATTTCATTTGTACCTTTAGCAGACCACTCTGGCTGTTGGGAGGATGGATGGAGGGCATATAAAGTCCCACATGGGGAGACCTGCTACAAGGCTACTGCAACAGTCAATGCCAGAAACCAGTAGTTACACTAGGGCTGACTATAGCAGAGATGACAACAAACAGCTCGAGTTTGGCCTGTGGAACAAATCCAACAAGACTTAACTACCTTAGTGGGTGCAGATCTGGGCAGTGCCACTTCCTGAGCTCTTTGGGATGAGCTGATAGCCCTGTGGATAATGTGCTAGCCCTGGGAGCACGAGCCTGAGGCTCACCCCCAGAACACACTTTTTTTTTTTTTTTTTTTAAAGCCAATCATGGTGTCATGATCTTGAAATCCTACTATAGGGAGGTGGAAACAGATGGATGCCTGGGGTACCTGGCCAACTTAGCCTACTCAGCAAGTCCAAGGTCAGAAAGTTTCCTGTCTAAAAAATACAAGGTGGATGCACCTAAGAAAAAAAGACACTTGACCTTTACCTCTGACCTCCACATGCATGCACACTCATGTGCAGGCGCACATGTGTCCACATGTGCCAATAGTTTTACTTTGTTAAACAAAGTACAATGCCTTTTTGTGTAACTTTTATTCTTGGAATTAGTAGTATTTCACTTTGTCCCATTAATAATCAAAAACCACCACTATGTGTGGAACATAAGCAGTAACAAATAAATGAATAAAAATGAAGAGAGCCACACTAAAGAAGGTAAGAAAAAATAACTAACTTTAGAAAAGAGAATTTTGGCTAGATACTATAAAGTTGAAAACACAAGGGAGTTTTCACAAATACTTTTCTATAGCAGTAAATGTCTTTCCACAGGAGATGGGTTAATGATTCTATAACTGTGTAAGATGTGTGCAGGGACTAACCACGTAGTAAACTCATATAATGAACAACATCCAGTTCCTCCCTGGTGGAGAAGGAAGACGTAAAAAAGGGCAAGATAAGTGTTGCTCATGGAGACGTACTCAGAGGAAGGGGCCAGCATGAGTGGGAAGCTAAGCAGGTCTGACTGAGCCTTGGAGGAGAACCAGCAGGAATTTCCATTTCCCATATGCATATATGAATACAAAGGCAGATGTGAGGACAGGGCTTAGGATGTTATTTCTGGGCACTACCTGCTCAGAGGATGTAGAAGTGCAGTCACACCCTAAAATCAATCACTCCTTTCATTATAGAAACCTAGTACTAAGGTCTCTCTGAAGATGAGCCTGGGATACCTTGTAGGGACAGAAAGTAAAGCAAACCTTAAAAGATGTCAGGGGCAAGGAGTATCAAAAAAGCCAAAATAAAGGAGCTTCAGTGACCAAAGATGAAACAATTTAAGCAGCAAAAAAATAAAAGTACTTAAATAGAATGTATAGAACTTCCATAAGTTGGGTGTGGTGGTGCACACCTTTAATCCCAGCAGTTGGGGGCAGAGATAGGCAGATCGATGTGAGTTTGAGGTCTGATCTACACAGCAAGTCCAAGTCCAGGACAACAGAGAAAAACCCTGTCTCCAAAAACAAACAAACAAAAGAGACAGAGAGAGAGAGAGAGAGAGAGAGAGAGAAAGAAAGAAAGAAAGAGAGAAAGAGAGAGAAAAAAGAACTTCCAAGAGCCTGAACTCGAAAGAAAGAAGGCAGCTTCCACACAAGACAGCCCTGTTCATGGGGAAGCATACAAGCACCTCTTGGAAAAAAACACAAAAATTGCAGTATAGACCCGAGTGTGGTGGACCAAACTGTGATCCCAGCTCTTGGAAAACTGAGGCAGGACAACTCTGAGTTCAAGATCAACCTGAGCAAAACAGCAAGATCCAGGCTGATATGGATACAGAACGAAACCTTTCTCAAACAAATAAAAAATAAAACAAAGTCACCAATAGATAACAAAATGATGGGCCCAAATTTGCGCAGCAGGATAGTAACAGTCTTGACAAAATGAGCAAGGTCAATACCAGGGTCACAAGTCATCTCAACCTCTGACATGACTTCACAGATATCATGACCCAAATTGAAGGAGAGCTCCCTGCCAGGCATGAGCCTCACACCTAAGTCTAGCACTGGGAGGATTAGCCTGAACCTTGTGGTGAATTCAGGGCCAGCCTGGACCTCAAGCAGCCAGTCTCAAAAAAAAAAAAAAAAAAAAGGCATTCTACAAAGCTGGTACTCATCAAAGGTGTCAAGATCAGGAGCTCAGGCTGTGAATTCTGAGGCAGAAAAAGAAAATAGGTGAAATTCAAACAAGTCTACCACTTAGTCAGTATGGCAGGTCTTTGATCTGCTTCACATTTCACATTTTTGTATTTTTAAATTAAAAATATTGCTTTATAGTAGAAAAATTGAGTTTCCTTTGTTGTTGAGTTTTGTTTGTTTTTTAGAATGTGTCTCACTCTCACATTTTCCTATTACATTTATTTATTAAAAAATCCCATCATCAGGCTAGATGTGTTGCTCAGTTGAGACAGTGCTTACCAAGCCTGCATGAATCGATCCCCTCATTGCATAAACCAGGCATAGTGGCACAGGGCTGTAATCCCAGCATTTGGGGGATAAAGGCAGGAGGATCAAGAACACATGGCCATCCTTGGCTACCTGGAGCCCTATCTCAAAATAAGTAAATAGACAAAGATTAAAAAAACAAAAGCATGCTTAATGCCAGTGCACAATACATTTTAAAGTGGCTACAAAGGGGCTGCAGAGATGGCTTGGCCATTAAGAGCAGGAGCTGCTATTCCAGAGGCCCACAGGCAATTCCCAGCATCCACATGGTAGTTATCAACCATCTGTAACTCCAGTTCCAAGGGATGTTGTGCCCTCTTCTGGCCTCCACGGGCACCAGGCACACATATGGTACAGATGCATAGGCAGGTAAAACATCCATACTCACAAAATAAAAATAAATAAACCAGAGGCTCAGAGGGTAAGAGTACTGGCTGCTCTTCCAGAGAGCTGAGCTCAATTCCCATGTGGGTACATGGTGGCTTCCAACCATAAGAACTAGTGCCCTCTTCTGGCATGCAGGCGTAGACACAGGCAGAACATTGTGTACATAATAAATAAATCTTAAAAAAAAAAATTAAGTGCTTATCTGGGTACAGTAGGAAACACCTGTAGCACCAGGCTAGGAAGCTGATGTGAGAAGAATTCAAGAAAATAAAAACCTTTAAAATCTAAGTTTCATGTTTCTTACTGTAGTGTAATTTTTTTAAAAACTGGGACTGAGGTTTACCACAGAGTATAGCCCATGCATTATCTTATTGTTTGGACCAAATAAACTAAAGGAGTTTGTCCTGCATGCACTCTGTGGGGGATGGGAGGAACATTTTTACCCCAAATTCTTCTGCAGATAAGCCAATGAAGAGTAAATGCCATCCCTTTCCCTCATTTTATTTGAAATTATACAAACCCTGAGCGTATATTTACAGACATCTATGATGTTTTATTTCCTTTAGAGCAATGGTCCTTAATCATTTAGGAATTATAGATAATTCCAAGAATTCTAACAAGCCACTAACAATAAGTCCTCATCTATCTAAGGTAGGGAAGCTACTTCTACTTTGCATGTTAAAAAGCTTAAATTCTGAGAGAAATAAACTACAAGGGACTGGGCCACAGGCAGAAGCAGGAACTTGAGCTGATGGGCAAGCTAGGCAAGTACAAGATTTGGCCCACCTGCCTCAGAAATATCCCACCTGCACCCCTGGGTTTGACACTACCCAAAACACTCAAGTCCAAGCCAATCACCTAGACTGAACCAGCATACACCACCCCACCCTGGCTTACCTCATGCTGGGAATGGCATGGTAACCCATTCGGAAGCGCAGTTTGCTGGATCCAGCAAAATCTACAATCACCTTCTCTCCTACAGTGTGCATATGTTTGAGAAGTTCAAGGTGTTCGCTGGTCACAACCTTCAGACTGGAGATGGAGGCCCATGGTAAGACCAGCCAGTGGTAACGGGCCTTGGGATATTTATCCTTAATCACCACCACCTGATCATCTTTGTAAACCTAGCAGACCACACAAGGAAAGGAAAGAGACATCAGCTGAGATCTCTGCATGTGGGGTCTACGCACTCACAAAACCTTATGCAAAAAGCTGCTAAGAGCTGAGAACAGACACAGCATCTTCCACCAGTCACATCATCACAGTGAGGGTTCCAACCCAAATCACACAGACTCCAGAGCCTGTGCTTTCCAAACATCAACTACCTAGGATGCAGAGAAGATCTATAGGGCTTGATGTTAAAATCTCCACAGTACAATTCAATCCAGGCCACTCTAACACAGACCTGGAGTACATGTGTGTAGACTCCATGGAGCCCTGACTGAAGCAGACTCCGAAGGCTCCTCCAAGGTTGATGGCTGATTTCTGATATGAAGAAAGCATGACTACAGTCACCACACATTATCTGATGACCCTTCAAAGGGATCACACTCAGGTTAACACATTTCTTTTTGTAGCATCTATTATTTATTCAGGGAGATCATAAAACTACTTAAGGAGTTGGTTCTTAACTTCTACAGTGATGGTGCCAGGGACTAAACTCAAGTAATCACCCTTGGCAGCAAGCGCCTTACCCACTAAGCCATCTTACTGGTCCACAATTTCTTTCTCCCCTCTCTCTCTTTCTTTCTTTTTTTTTTTTTTTTCAGGACAGGACAGGGTTTCTCTGTGTGTAGCCCTGGAACTTGCTGTGTAGAGCAGGCTGGCCTCAAACTCACAGAGATCCATCTGATTCTGCCATCCAAGTGCTGGGATGAAAGGCATGCACCACCCCACCTGGCTTCAGTTTCTCTTAATAGTACCCAGAAGTTGAAAAGAGACAAAGCAGACAATATATTCATCTCTGAAGAAGTGAGCTTCTCTCCAAAGATATCCAGTTACACTTTTTAAATTTTTATAAAAGCACTTTATTGTAACAAAGTCACAAATAAAAGCCAGCTGCTCAAACAGACCTTTGCCTGTCACCAAATACTATCCATCTCAGGGAACTTGTAAATAGAATGGCCATTCTGAAGCTGTAGAGCTACACTTAGTTAACACTTTATTGATTACAATTTTATTCACTTATCTACAAACAAAAAGAGAAAAAAAAAAACTAGAATTCAAACGAGAAAACCGTTTATATTCGCTTTCAACAGATGAATGGATAATGAAAATGTGCCACACATACAAAATGGAATATTATTCAGGAAATCAAAAGCTGGGTGTGGACATGCATGATTTTAATCCCAGCACTCAGGAAGCAAAGGCAGGAAGATCTCTATGTGTTTGAGGACAGTCTGGTCTACATCACAAGGATACCCTGGGCTATACAGAAAAAGAGACCCTGTCTCTAAAGGGGGGTGGGGAGGGTGGAAGAGATGATCTTAAGAGCACTGGCTGCTCTTCCAGAGGATTCAGCTTTGATTCCCTACATCCACATGGCGGTCCACAATCATCTGTAATTCCAGTCCCAGGGGACTCTTCTGGCATCCTCAACACCAGGCACATACACGGTGCACAGACATACATATATGCAAAACACCCTACACATTAACATAAATCTATAAAGTATTTTTCAGAAAGAAAAAGAAAAATGAAAGCCAGGCACGGTGGCTCACGCCTGTAATCCCAGCACTCTGAGGGGCAGAGGCCAATGGATCTCTGTGAGTTTGAGGCCAGCTTGGTCTAGAAAGTGAGCCCAGGACAGCCAAGGCTACAGCTACACAGAAAAACCCTGTCTTAAAAAAAAAAAAAGAAAAGACAATGAAATCACAAAATCTACAGAAAAAATGTATGGGCTTAGAAAGTATAATATTAAGCAAGGTAACCCAAAATCAGGAAAAAGGAGGGAAAAAAAGTGTTTTTTCATATATGGTTTCTAGCCTATAATGTACGCATGTATATGTGGAACCAGCCATTAAGTGTGGGTATGGTATAACATTTAGAAAGAAGACCAGGAAGGTAGTATTAGGTGATATGAAGAACAGAGTGCAGGCATAAGGACATGAGTCTAGTTACTACTTTAGTACCAAGGTGGAAGCCACTGTTCTCACAGAAAAGTCCAGTAAACAGGCTCACACTAGGAAGAATTCACATCCTTTGGTTTCATTTATGACTTTCATAGCATATAGGACAGACACTAAAATACAATTTTATTCTGACCTGCATTTTGGGGTCTTTCATAGAAATCTTCAAGCCTTGACTCCAGTGGCCCAGTGATTCCTAAATAAAAAAAAGACACTGTGAATGGCAATCGTCAAATGTAGTCAATACTGCATGACAGCAAACTCTACACAAAACTTGGAAGTAAAGCTGGTTTTAAGACTTCCTTTACTTCAGTTTGTCGCTCTTTAGGACCACACACTCCCTGCTGTCTCTACATTCACAACTGGGTATAAGGATGGAAGCCTACTGCAGAACTCTGTCCTGTGTGCAAGGATTGCTGTCCAAAAGAGCAGCTGTGATTACCTGTAAGACTTTAACAAGACTGAATCAAGCAACATCACCTTATTGGGGGATTGGGAAGACTCAAGAGAAGGCTCAGGAGGTGTCTCCCCTGAGGGTACACAAGCAGCTAACAACTGCTGGGGAGGGAGACTCCTCTTTGATGGAGTAGTCACACATAAGCTGCCCATGCTCATGCTCCTGTAAGTAGCCACAATTAACTCACTGGTTCACCAAGTTAGACTTGGATGGAATGGTTGGTCTGCCATCAGTGCGGTATCTGCGATGAACAAGCACCTGTTCACATCTCCTCAAGAAAAGTTGCATAAAGCCAAATCTGCCAGAGAACAAGTCAGCCTCCTTTGCCCTCTCACTGCAGTCTAGCCAAGTTTTTTCTGTGACATCAACAGGTGAATTACATTAGCTATCAAGTGCTGCAGTGTTAACCAATAGCTAGACAAGCAGATGGCCCATTTTAGTGTGCAGCATTAATTACATTATTATGGGGAGTGCAGGAAACCCTGAGGAATGTGTAAGGAATGGATGAAGTCCTAAGTGAATGTGCATTGTTGACAAGACCAGTCATGTCAAGGACCTCAGTGCCTAGACTGATAGAAATGGCAAAACCTTCCCCAGGTGAGGCCTAGAGGGCTAGCAAAGCCATTGTATTTACAAATGACTGGCTATGCGGTGTGTGCAGAGACTATCAACCATAGCTGCTCCTCCTAGATGTTTACATTCTGAGACTGCTCCCTTTAGAGACCTCCTACCAATATTAGCTAAACCTGCCTCCTTGTTCAGCTATATATATAACAGACCCACCTCCTCAATTCAGATGTATAAAGTAATCATGCTGAGTTTCTGGGCTGCTGCTGGTGGTTCATCTCCATTTCAGAGCACAACCTACCCAATCCCAGCTTCTCTATATGTGTGTCTGTCCTTTTTCATTCCCTTGTTGTCCCAGCTAGGTCAATCACTAAGCTGGGCAGGGCATGGCACATTGTCATTACTGACTGCCCTGTCTTTCTGCAAGTGCTTTACCCCAGGAATTTAATAGAAAAGCATATAAAGGGACATTGACCAAGTGATTTTCAGACCACAAATGACTCTTTCATCATGGTTAACAACCCTCATTATGATTAATACCACCTCACTCATGTACAAAACAATACACAGTTTACAAAACAAGTAGTCATTATATCTCAATTCATCCCCATATCATCTATCAATCACACTATTCTTACCTGTTTGGTGGCTCCATCCTTGCCCTTCTTAGGGGGTACAGAGCATTGGCTGGGTCTGTTCCCAGGTGCTAGCCCTGTCCCAGACTCCGCTTCCTGAGCAGCATCCATCACCTCACCATCACTGTCTGACCTCTTTCTCTTCCTTTGTGTGTCTAGGTCAGGGCTCTTTGCCACTTCCTCAAACTCTACAACATATGGATAAAGTTCATTCACCATGTGGAGAACCTGACCAGGCTGCAGCTTCATCTCTCGGTCCTTCCCAATGATGACTGAGTCAATGCTGGTGGGATTGACCCCCACCTGTGGATACACAATCATAATGTAAGTACAGCAGCAATAAAACCATCAGTAATACACCTGCGCTACATTAACCCCTTACTCTACAGTCACCTGCCTATTGTTTCCTCCATCACTTCCACCCATGGCAGAGGAGCTTTCATTAGCTGGTACAGTCAGTCTAAAGCAACAGCATAAAACAAATGTCAAGTAGGTGGGCATGGTAGCTGCATGCCTTTAACCCCCACCCTCAGGGAGGCAGAGGCAGATGGATTTCTGTAAGTTGGAGGCCAGTATGGCCTACAGAGTGAGCCCAGAACAGCCAAGGCTACACAGAGAAACCCTGCCTCAAAAAAAATTATCAAGTATAAAATGGAAATATGAGTCTAGACACACATACCTGCTTTACTCTGACATATTCCTTGTTACACTCTGCTTTCAACTGTACTGAAAGAAGTAAGAAAACATAAGCACAGATGGAACAAAAACTGGGTGCAATTTTCCCTGAAGGACAACAAAGCCTGACTGCTACAGGCACCTCACAGCTGAGCCTGAGCTACATATGCCTGGCCCTACAAACCCCACCAATTTCTAACAGCTTCAAACCCTTCCATAAAAGCTCATCAGGAAGCAAGGTATGGTGGCACATGCCACATTTGACATCATAATCAGTTCTAGGCCAGCCTGCATACCCAGTGTTCAAGGTCAGCCTGTGTCACTTCTCACGCACACACGAAAATACATACATATACATACATATGATTGTAACTCCCTTAGCTAATATATGTGTGTAATATATAATATTATATATATAATATAATATAATATAATATAATATAATATAATATAATATAAT